TCTCTCTCTCTCTCTCTCTCTCTCTCTCTCTCTCTCTCTGAATCCGGCCGCCTCCATCCCAACTCCCTCTCTCCACCACACCTAGAAAGGCGAATTGCTCTTGCAGCCTCGCCATGCATGTGCTTTTACACAGCGCCACAGGGTTGAGACCAATTGGAGGAGTGAAAGTCAAAGCAGATTTTCTGTCCTAAGCTCACCCTGGTGTAACAAAACAGAAACATCAGCACTCGGCCCCTGTTTAAATTGAATTTCCTTGTTTGTTTCATTTGTTTGGCTTTTGAATGAAAACAAAGAGCAGCAAAGGGAGAGAGGGTCCGCAAAAGGTCTGACAGTGTAGCCAGCCCCTACACTCTTGGGTTGTTGGAGCCTGGGGGTGACCCTGCCGGGGAATCTCCACTCAGGGCACATGGGTCAGGCGGGCCAGGCTGGTCATCTGTGGTCCCTGCCCTTGCCTGGCCAGAGGCCTAGACACCCTCCTTGTTGCCACTCCCCAATTTCCTATTACCCAAGGTAATTAGCCTCTGTCTTGTCTTGGCCGCCTTGCCTTTTTCTCATCGTGGATGACTGCCAAAGGGTCCTGAGCAAACACGCAGCGGCAGCCAGGCCTGATTCCTGGGGTGGGGAACTCATTCCCACACATTCAGAGGCTTGCCCCAGGCCCACCCTCACCTCTCTAGCCTCAGCTCTGTGAAAAGAATGCCAAGGGAGCCTGGGTACCGCAACCATGTGCCAACACCCATGGTGGGACCAGAGGTTCGGGGAAATGCAGCAAGGGCAGGGGGCGGTGAAGCTGGCGGAGAGGAGCAAGAGGAACAGCAGGGCCCTGGAGAAGGGAAGGCGCTGTGAGGAGAGAGCCTGAGGCCAGGTGGCAGACAGCAGCTTCCACACGTGCTCCCAGTGCCACCGGGGGCCAGGCCGTCCCCTCCTCTGGCCTCGGTGTCCTCATCTGTGCAATGGAAAGGTGAAACTCTGAGATAGGGGTGCAGATTGCACCCCACAGTCTCACGTCTCTGTGCCTCCCAGACATCCTGGATAATAGTGGTATTGACAACACTAGTTTATCGAGCAGTTGCCACATGCCAGGAAACTTGTGAAGGATGTTACATGTGCTGTCTCATCTAATCCTCACCATAACCCTGTGGATCTGGTATCATCATCATCATCATCATCA